AGCAACACATCATTAGCTGCTTAATAAGATGGCAAAACAGTAGATTCTAAAAAAAGAAGACAAAAAATGGTGCTTGTTTTATGTTCTACTTGCCAAGGAAGGTGCAAACTGCAGAATAATGGATTATGGAAAACAAATATTCACAAAGACAAAAGTTTTAACTGGAACCACATTAAATTAGAAAGTCAGTAGTGAGCAAATACTCCAGGATTTGTACTGGACGGTCCTCCCACAAGACCCAGTAACATTAACTGGAGTTTAGTCACAATTTAATTACAGACAACAGAAACACAAAGAATATGTAGCAATACACGGATCTGTTAAGAGAAGGCAATACAATTAAGTTGTTTGGTTGCAAATCCATGCGTTTCTTGTTTTTAAAAAAAACAAAAATATGTGCCAAACACAAACATCGCGAGGCAGAGCATCACGAGGGGAACATCCCACCATAAGCTTGTCTATGTAAGGATTTGGAGGCTCTCTGCTCCAGTTTGACACTCTGGCTTGGAAAAACACCCGAAGGCAAGATGAAAACAACAATACCTGGTAATCCTTCACACGAGCATCAAGAAACAAGCCTCAGATTCATTCAGTTCACAGTCGCTACGACACAAACAAAGCAACACAAGTCAGTCAGATGCAACAAATAAAAGAAATTTGATTTTTGAGCAAAATACTTGGATCAGACCATAAGTTACCTCATGAGAGGCAGTTCTGTAGGTATGACCAATACCTGCAAGCTAAGTAATCAAAAATCAATGCTACAAAAACAAAACTAATTGAAAATCCTGTTCCTCTCCTCACCTGTGGGGGCGCTGCACCAAGAACCGCTGAAGGTAACAAAACAAAAAGATGTGTGCGCAACTTCCTTCTTTATGCAATCAAACAAAAACTCTTTTGGATTATTGTTGTTCTTTGAAAATTTCTGACCACCCAGTTGAAAATTTATGGTAACAAATGAGAGAAAAAATCACAATTTGTGTCAAATCCCTTCAACAGATTCTTTAAGTCTTTTAAAAATTCTCATTGTTTGCTCATTTCCAATTACGTCCCGTTCTCAGCACAGAGGAAAGTGTTTCCATGCAGCGCTTAAATTAGACACCCCTGCGGCACAACGATATTTAGCAAATTATTGTTAAATTAGAAGAAAGTAATTGTCGTCATTTTAATGCCGCTATTAATTAAAACATCAAGTGCATGTAAACATAACCTGCTATTAACACTGTGACTCTCCATGTTTTATCTTTGGCTGACACATTTTCTCACTTTATCGTTTTCTAATGGCTCTGCTTTCACCAGCTGCCTGCCTTTTACATCCATGCTCTCCTTCTTTTTCCTTTCATCCTTTCAGCCACCTTTCCATCTCGCCCACTTTTGATTAAAGGATTCATTTTCCATTAAAGGGTGTCCAGAGCGATCTGTGGCCTTAAACACTCCGCAGCAAGTTTGTGAAATAACCAATTGTATGTTATCTATTATTAAATTCAGCCACATTTCTTTAATTCTTTCAATTTCAGATAACTTAAGTACCACAACTCTTGTTATTTTCTTCAAGTAAAATGAACAAAAAGAAACTTTAATGGGAGTCAGTTACAATAGCTGTAAATTGCTTAGTTCCATTTAACATGAGCAACCAGGTGAACTCTGGTAAAATCCGTCCCTGTCGCTTAAGTCAAGTCAAACTTATTTGTGTAGCACATTTCAGCTACAAGGCATTTCAAAGTGCTTTACAAAAACACAAAGTCGTAGGACTTTCAACAACTGAAACATTTTGCTGTCGTCACACATCAGAATGTTTATCAATGTTTTATATATTAAGTTTCAAAACAACTTTGAACAGGTGGATTTTTAGTCTAGATTTAAAGGAACTCAGTGTTTTGCCTGTTTTGCAGTTTTCTGGAAGTTTGTTCCAGATTTGTGGTGCATGGAAGCTGAATGCTGGTTCTGTGGATGCACAGCAGAACCAGAACCAGAATTAAGCCATTCAGTGATTTATAAACTAAGAACAGCTTTTAAAGTCTGTTCTCTGAACTACATGGTAAGGACTGTAGAACTGTTGAGATGTGCTCCATCATCCTGGTTTCAGCCAGAATGTGAATAGATATCTATTTCTGCCAGCAGTAAGTAAGTAAAATAATATTAAATATATTTTCACATTCGTGTAAATTGGGAGTCTACAGATAGAAACTGATTAAATTTGATTAATAAAACGATATTTGAGCTGTTATCTTGAAGGTTTTATTTGCATGTCCTGTTAGACTTTTGAGGGCCACATAAAAAACATGAGTGGGTCAGATTTGGCCCTCGAGCCTCCAGTTTGACACATGTGCTCTAGATCTTGCAGTTCCTCTAATCCTGGAAATCTTCTTTCAGTGATAAAAGGCAGACTTTGTTTTTGTTAATAAAAACTAATTCTGAATATTTCATAGCAGATGATCACATGGAGGCCAACATTTCACTTCTTAGAAACTCCAACAAAGTTTTAAAAAATGTTTTAAACTTCAAAGGCGAGATTGAATGAATATTTGAAAGTATGTTCTGGTGCTTTCAATTCTTTTTTTGTGTGAAAGTTTTAGATTTTGTGTTACTTTCACACAATCTGGGGTAAAACTTGGCTATTCGGTTTGAAAATAACAAAAAAAAAAAAAAAGGCCTGGAGCAAAGATTTGAGCTTCGAACATGATCAGCGCTTCGCTGTATTATTTTTGGCAGACAGACATGGCTTGTGAACACATTCTTAACAAACTCAATCCCATTTTCACACATCAGCACAGAAGATGCTCCAGAGCAGGTGCTGACAATCTGCTTTAGATTTTTGTGTTTTGGCACATTACTATTCACACATCTGCATCACGGAGGGAGATTTATATATATATATATATATATATATATATATATATATATATATATATATATATATATATATATATATACCATATATATACCATATATATATAGCACGCTGAGACTGTACACGAGCCGCAAGGAAGGAGGCAGAGGACTAGTGAGTGTGAGAACCACTGTCCAGGACGAAACAACTAAGATCCATAAATACATCAGGGACAAAGCCTCAACAGACAATGTGCTCAGTGAATGTCTCAGACAACAGGGAACGGAGGTTGAGGTGCCAGAGATACCATCATGGGAGGACAAACCCCTACATGGGATGTACCACCAGCAAATAACCCAAGTGGCTGATATCAGTAAATCCTACCAATGGCTGGAAAAAGCTGGACTCAAGGACAGCACAGAGGCCCTCATCCTGGCCGCCCAGGAACAGGCCCTAAACACCAGAGCAATAGAGGCCCAGATCTACCACACCAGACAAGACCCAAGGTGTAGGTTGTGCAAGGAGGCCCCTGAGACAGTCCAGCACATCACAGCAGGGTGCAAGATACTGGCAGGGAAAGCGTACATGGAGCGACATAACCAAGTGGCAGGCATAGTGTACAGAAACATCTGTGCAGAATATGGACTGGAAACCCCAAGATCAAAGTGGGAAACACCCCCAAAGGTGGTGGAGAACGCCAGAGCTAAGATCCTGTGGGACTTCCAGATCCAGACAGACAAAATGGTAATGGCGAACCAACCAGACATTGTCGTAGTGGATAAACATCAGAGGAAAGCCGTTGTGGTAGATGTAGCAATACCAAGTGATTGCAACATCAGGAAAAAGGAGCACGAGAAACTGGAGAAATACCAGGGCCTCAGGGAAGAACTGGAGAGGGCCTGGAAGATGAAGACCACAGTGGTGCCTGTGGTCATCGGGGCCTCGGGGCAGTAACCCCCAAACTGGAGCAGTGGCTACAACAGATCCCAGGAACAACATCAGACATCTCAGTCCAGAAATGTGCAGTCCTTGGCACAGCCAAGATACTGCGCAGAACCCTCAAGCTCCCAGGCCTCTGGTAGAGGACCCGAGCTCAGAGGATAAGAACCACCCGCGGTGGGTGAGAAGGGAATTTTTTTTTTTTTTTTTATATATATATATATATATATATATATATATATATGTATATATATACATATATATATATATATATGTTGTTGTTTTTTTTTTCCAGAGTGTTTGAGATGTGCTCTTACAGCTGGAGAATCGGGGGGTGTCTGCTGAGGAGCAGCTGTCGCCGCTGCACACAATGCAGGAAAATCACAGTAATTTTTAACATCTCTTCAAGGAAAGTCAGCAGTGCGTACATGTTGATAATGAAACAGTGTTTTTGAATGTGTCCAGTGTTGAAGACTTTCTCTTTGTCTGTGGATGTGTTTGAAAGATTTGTGGCTAAGCTCATGCATTGCCTCATCTGCTGAGCTGTGAGGAGAGATTTTATGTAGGTTCCAGAAACGGAGCGAATGTGTTGACATCTCTGTTTGCCCACGTCTTACCTTTCCAAACATTTCACTCAAACAAGCTGAAACAGTAGAGCTTCATTGAAAAGTTTCTTTCTGCCATTTAATGTAATTTTCAGTCGTGTGAGTTGAATAGTAATTGAGGTCAAGAAGTTTTAGTTGAAGATAATTGCCTACAACTTATTTTATTTTTTAGTTACTAAAAACTAATGGATTAATTAAAAGCTTTTGTTTCACAACTCATGGTGTAAAATTACGGAAGAAGTCAAATAAGGACTTAGAACAAAGTCAAAATGTAATACAATTTAAGAGGAAATAAAAGAAGGTAATTTTTACAAAGTATAGAAATATAGGTGAAAAATAGCACAAATGAGTAAATGCAAATATAAATTTTAGGCACATCTGTGTTTGGTGAGGCCATGACAAAAAAAAACAGATATGATTTTAGTTTATAATTTTGTTTTTCTTGTTTATATCTCGAAATAAATCTTTGCATACCTAAAGTGACACAGTAAACTTTAAGATGAGCAGTAATGTTCAAACTTCACTTTGCAATTTATAGTAAACGTCTGAAAATAACGATTTCTTTTTCTGTTGCTTTTTTGGCCACAAATCCCCAAACCTTGCAGGCAAGTAAAAGCGTCTCTTACTTGTTTTTTCAGACTTTGGATGATGCTGATCAGAAGGTTTTCCTCCTTTCCCAGCTCCATTGTGGTCACTATAAAGTCGACATCGTGGCCAAAGTCCTTCCCCCTAAAAATAAAACACAAAGTCTTGTTACAGTATATACTGTTCGATCCTCAAAGGAAACAGGCAGGAGGCATTAGAGTAGTTTGAAATATTTTGTTTGCTTGTTGTACTAAGAATTCACATTTTTTCTGCTTGAAGTGATGCTTTATCCATCAGTACAGCTGTGCTGAAGGGAGGTTTCAGTCCTGTAAGGTTATCATGACAGGATTACTGTATCTGCCAGGAACAGATGTCAGATAAAACTCAGCAGAACCCCACAGGAACAGAACGCACACAAAAGGTGTATCGGAGCGTCTATCTGGCACCTGAATCAGTAACTCTGAACTCATTCCTCCATTTCTTTGGGCAAACCCAAAAACATTCCCTCCAAGCTTAATAGATTTTGAATAATTTATGTTTGTATTTTGAGTCATGATGTGTTGCATTCAGTGAAAACTGAAGATGTAAAATAATGTCACTAAACAAGCAGAGAATCTGAGCAAAACAAGACCAAACCAGAATACACAACAGATCTGATCTGACCAGGAATCAGTGAAAACAACAGAGTAAAGATCAAATCTATTCAGTTTATTCAAACTTTAATGTCATATATTTAAATATCAACAACAAAGTAGAGCATAATTGTGACATAATCAGAATATAATCCATGATTCAAATAAAAACTGAATGGGGACAAAATGATAACCATAAAGAGTCAGGAGCGATAAAACTCAGAAATTAAAGCTCCTGAGGTTGTTTTAAGAAAAAACTTTTTTTTGTTTTTGAAGTTTATTAATCTTGAATTGTGAGTTTTAACTCAATTATTTCACCTAAAGAGACACATTTTTCATTTATTTTCACTCACAATGTCAAGTTAAAATAACTTATTTTACTTTAGAATAATTTAAATTCTTGTTTCAAATTGAACAAAAATTCAGCTCAGAAACATTTAGTGCATTAAAATAAAAATTTGCCTTAATAACACAAGAGTCTGATCAACATGCTGCTAAGCATTCTGGGAAATACAACTTACTACTGTAAATGTACTTTTTCACAAACTCACATTTTTGTTCAAAATCTAAAACTCGCTAAATTTATTGAAGAGAAGAATTAGACGACTAAAGTGTTTTACAGTGTACAAGAACTGTTCTGTTTCAGGAATAATTACATAAAAATTGAATCTAAACCGTTTATAGAATTGATCTACAATAATTCACAGGATGTTTTTCCTTCTTTGTAAGTAAAATGGCAGAAAAATAGCAGCTTTAACAGAGGATTTTGTGTGGGAGAAAAAAGCTCATCATGATGGACTTGTCCGCATCAACTTGGCCCTTCCTGCCATAAAGAAACAAACAAAAAGATTCATTTCAGGCTGATCATCACCTCGCGCACACACATTACACACGCTTTCCCACAGAAACCCTTTGATAAACAACAGGCGAAATCCTGCAGAAGTATGCTCCAGTGTCACTGCTACAACAAAGCAAAATGTCAGTGAATGTTGTGGGCGATACGGCTCCAAAGAAGCTTCTGCATCCACAAGGCTCTGTGTTTGATCTCTTCTTCACGCCACTGGCAAATGACTGATGGCAGTCAGTGTGAGTGACATTAAAGGAATGGAGAGAGGTTGAGGATAGCTGCAGGCGAAAGCTTCAAAGGTTCACACGGCTAAATCAGGTAGCAAGTCAGAAATAAGAAAAGTTTGAGCCCTTACAGTTATGGCGGCATTAATGGAGCATCCGGATGAGTCTGCGGAGGATAAAGGGCATACATCATCATTTTCACAAGTTTTTTTTTCTGCTGTTTTGCTTATGCTTGCAGCTCATGAGTTATCAGTTTTGTCTATGAACAAAGGAGGAGACATAAAAAGAACGACAAAGAAACAAAAACAAGCAAAAAAAAGCAGAGAATGGAAAGTTTAGCTAAACATATGATATGTCTGCCCTTTATTTTTGAAAATTTATTCCACCTGGAAGTTAGAAGGATATTTGCCTTGTAGGATTTAACTGTTTTAAAGATTAAAGATTTCTTCCTGTGGAGCGAGAATCATTCCTCTAATTTAGATCCTCTAATGTTTCCAGCACGTACATTGTGCTAATGTTGCAAATTACTTTTACTGCTGGCTTCTGCTGTGCAGGCAAAACTCACTCAAGTGTGCAGCTTGAATGTGCTTTATGAATGGAGGAAAATCTGGAAAAAAAATAAACATTCATGTTGCAAGAACCTGATCTCTGTGTGATATTTAATACTAATCTGTAGAAAAGACACTGTGGCATTAAATTTTAACTTCTTTTAGTAAAATCTGTCAGGTCAATGCAACTATATTATTGAACTTAAGATATTAAAAATGTCTGTTCACGCATACACATTCCAAGCTATTGTTTACGTCCCGAAATTTTACACATTTATACAATTCTGTTAACCAAATCAAACCTGAAGATTATTAACTTAGTGCATCTTGCAACAGCAAAGTGAAAAACAAACAGAAAAATCACTGAACAACAACTCAAAACCGCTAGTTTTGACAACAGCTCCACTAGTGGATTCAACACCAAACAAAAAACAAAAAAACAAGCAAACATTTTCCACAAAAAGAACAGAACATTCAGTGTGTTACAGTTTTATGTTTTCATGCATGATGTTTATTTTGTGATTATCAACGAGTCTGAATACAGTGACAGTTGATTAACTAATAGTGTGGCTTTTCCTTCTCCCTCGCTACTTTTTTTTATTAAAGTTGTTTACTGACATGTGAAATATAATAATTTATACCTTTTTCTTTTACATATCAGGTGTACATTGAAGATTTAGCCTTTTATGTTGCACTGCAAAAACACAACAAAAAAACTCAAGTATTGTTGGTCTAGTTTCTAGTGTAAATATCTAACTTTAACTTAAAAGTGACTTTTTAGCAAGATGTAAAAGATTGTTTTAAGTAAATAATTCCTCAATATTGATTGACTTACAACATGGGAACACATTTTGTTGTTAGTTAAATAAATCGCCAAAGGAATTAGAACTTTTTCATCAATATTAAGGAATTATTTACACAACAGAAGCTTCTAAATCTTGCTAAAAAAAGTTACTTGTAAGTTAGTTTTGTGTTATTTTAAGTTTGCTAAGATCCTTGCATTAGAAGTCGTCGTCTGAAGCGTGATGTGACACTGCAACGTTTCTGTAGCAGAGCAGATATTTTCCTCTTTATTCTTGGCTGAAACAAAGGTTCTGCTTGTTCACTGACGCAGAGTGTAGAGTAGCAGCCATGTGTTTCTCAGCACGTGGTGCAACACGGAGCTGAAGTGAAGAACATTTTGAACACCTGGTGTGAATTCAGCATGTCTACTTTTTTATTGCGTGAGGGAAAGTGCTAAATTATTCACAGGTATGCACTAGGCCTATAAAATATACATAGCTATTTACAAATTTCTATGGACGACAAGGCGACATGTATGAATAATAAAGAAGTGGGAAGTGTTGCTGCTGCTGCAGCTGATGGAAAATCCACAGAATGAAGTCATCTGCAGCAGGGAGAGAGCTCAGCTGCACTCAGCAGTAGGTGGTCCAGAAAAAGAAATCAGAACTATCTTTATTCAATGCATTGTGATCACCAAGGTAACAGGTGTAAGCTGGAAACCCAGGTGTCCAGAGTCGAATAGTTCCTCCACTAAATCTTGGGTCTGTTTTCATTATGTTTGGGCCGGAAATGAATTTCTATAAGACAAAATGAAATTACTGGGAGCATCAAAACCACAAACTCAAGCACAGCTCCCACCCACGGTCCAACATTCATGCCCATATTTACGACAACGACTGTGAGTAACACGCTGATGATGACGTATCAATGGAGAAATGGCTTAAAGGGGAAGTATTTAAGTCACCTTCATCTGTTACTAAAATGCTACATATAAATGACCTCAAAGAAATTTGACTTTGATATTTAACGTCTTGAAGTTTTCTCTTTAAAAACCTGAATCATTCGGGGAATCGTTACTGTGAACCATGACCTCACGGGTAAGAGCTGACTCAAGTCCTGGCTCAACACCACAAACAAGAGCAGCAATCAGACCTGGCAGAGTCCAACATTCCCTGGGAACGCGCTCAAGAAGCTAAATCACCAGGAGCAATATGTTGACTCCGGCTCTGTCTGATTTTATGGATGCAACATGAAGCCATAGAGACACTTTGGCTCATACATTAAGACCAGACATCTTGTTTTGCTCTCCCCTCCTGTGAGCTGATGATAGAGTTGGGCTGAACAATCACGACACCATGAATTAAGCCGATAAGGAATCCTTATCTGAGCTGCTGTTGCAGGCAAACAAAGCATAAGAATCAGCCCCTGTTTGAGGCTTTGGAGAGCAGATACCACCAGCCCCCCCTCATCAGTGTCACTTTGAGTTAATATTCCAGACAATCTGATGTTACACAAGATCCACAGCAGGGAATCGCTGGCAACATGCTGAAATAAATACAGCGCTCCACTGACACTGTGCGAGCCTTTTCACGCAGAGTGCTGGTAGAAGCTGCATTTTCACGCCTAATCTATTTTTAATCCCCCCCCACCCTAACAAAACCGCTTTTAAGGCTTGTCACCCGCCTTCCACAGCTGTCCTTTCAATAAGCCTAATGTCAGTGGCATCAACAAATCCCCGCCATGCTGCTTTCCTCTGAAGTACATGACAACTCCAGCCTATGAAGTACAGCCCTTATTTTGCAAAACTTTTGGGAGCAGAGTTATTTTCTGTGCATCTTATCCAGAGATAAAAGACGCGATAGAGCCGAAAATATCTATCCGAGGAGCTATACTGTACTTGTAAGTTTTGACAAGGGCTATTGGCCACAAAGCTAATGAGAGTCTCAAATTATAGGTTATTAAATCAAGATTTGACAGTGTGCTCAAAAAGATATCCCACTGCACAGAATCAGACGATTATTAGTGGTGCAGCTCGGAGCGTTTGAACTATTCCAGACATCGTCTCCTTTTGACCAAGAACATGCTAAATTAGCGACTGATGGAGTAAAAATCATTACTTTTCAGCTACATCTCTGCATGGCTCCAATGAAGTCTCATGTTGCTCCTCAAGTCTGCATAAATCTAACGCGAGGTAAACGGGTGCTTCATCTGGTCGAGTTTAAATCCATAACGTCTCACTCACAGGCCCCTTTACGCTCTGCAGAGAGCTGCTGGCCCATAAATCGTAAGTGGTTCCTCCCCTTCATTCTTGATGTTAACTATCCATGATGTGCTAATCACTTTCCTCAGCTCATTTTACAACACTCCCTCATAGAGGAGCCATTATTTACATAATCAGATATCTCTCCAGCTGTCATCTGTCCTTCTGTAGATTAGGGATGTTTACTTTTTCCCTCCTCTGGCAGCGTTTGATGTGGTATTAATTTGAAAAAGCTGTAAACTTTCTTTGTGTGTACTGCAGAACAGATGTTATGATGAAAATGTGAATGTTAAGAGTGTAAATAGAAATTCAGTGTTTCAGAATTTACCACACTTTAAAGTGAATCAGGATTAGTTGAACATGGTGGCCTAAATATGTTGCAATTTTCCTATAAGCTGAAAAATTGCTGTTTCTGACACAACAAAATTCACAATTAATTCAAAAAATGTACATCTTTGTTATATTTTTCACCCGATGGAGGTGAAAAATATAATATAATATGGGCTGAAGATGTATTTTTGGTCCATTCTGTACTGGAATATATAGAGTAATCACAGGAAGGCTAACCATTCTGTGCTTGGCTGGTGTAATTTTAGATAATGCCACACAGTGTCACTGTTGGCTGCAATTAAAAAGAAAATTCTGGATCGCATCCTACGTGTAAAAAAACAGAAGAGTGCAGTGGGAAAGAACCGAACCAATCTTCCAAAGGCCCTACATTTATGCTCTCAACATTTCTCTCCAGAAGACTTTGAGTCATTTGTAAGAGCAAAACTGACAAAAGCTAAAACAGGTGACGTTACCATAATGAGCTAAAAATAAATGCCGTGCTGACAGTTTTTATCCACAAATCCAGTTTATGACAAAACGCCCGGCCAAAGAGCAAAAAACTCTGGGAGAAACACCAGACAAGCAGTGATGGAAGATCTTAAATGCTAACGGAGCTCTGCGGTCGTAGAACCAGCGGAACTACTGCCGTTTACATTCGAACAAAGACCAGACCCAAAGCTTATTAAGTACTTAATGGATCCCCAAGTCTGACCAGAGATATCATTGTTTCATTTACAAAGCTGAAAGTAGCAGCAGCAGCGAAACACCTGCTTCTTCAGCCAACTCTGTGATCTTCCTCCGTCATCATGGATCCCTTAAAGGATTGAGAAAAAAAAAACTACAGATATTTATATGAATGGATGGTGACAGCATCCTATTATTATTTAGTGATTGTCATAATTTGAGACGTAGACTAAGCAAGTTGCTTTATTTACATGTAATGCTCAATCTGAAGTCATTTTCGGCCAAGCGGGAAAACCAGAATATGAAACATGAACCTTTCTAAGGTTTATGGAGGAAAGAGGAGAAAGTGTATATTATGTTTGTAGCCCAGACAGCATTAAAGGTCATCAGCTAAGTTGTTGCAGCTCTCTCACCCCCGTTGAGAAGCAAGTGCATGTCCTCAGTGCCAGACTGCGCCTTGAATTATTTACCTCACACGCTGCTGGGTTATGGCTGGATTTTTACAGCGCCACAGAGCAGAGTGCTCCCTGCTTACTCGGGCACAAAGCAGCGCACATAAAAAGAGAGCAGCACAAAGAGGTGGGAGCGGAGGGAGGTGATGTCTGTGACCAAAAAGTTGCACTCAGCAGGTTGCTTTACAAGAACACTCGCCATGCGCCCTGATACTGACAATGTAATGCATTTGAGTGACCTAGACTCGGTGCAAAACAGGACTGACCTGCTCTTTCTTTCTACAGAGACCAAGAATCCAGATTCAACACCAAACTAACTCCATCAGTTTCTGCTCTGATAGAAGGTAGCAGGGAATATTCAAATGGGAATCAACACCTCCTGAGACTCGTGTTTTCCTGTGCATTACAAAAAAGATATTTAAGGAAAGCGGCGGGAAGAAAAAGGCAGAGGCGCTGTTCTATTTCATCTGCAATTTCAACGCTGAAAGAAGGAGACAAGCCTTGTACCTCCGAAAGCCACCTGTCAGCGCTAGTATGGCGTTTGGTGTGATCACATGGACAGCCTCGTCAATAATGTTCCCCACGGCCTGTGCCTCCGCTTTACTGACAGCCCTGGAGATGTCTCCATAATGCAGAAAACCTGCAGGGAAAAGACCACATGGTTATTAGTCTGGCAGCTCGCCATCAATCACAGCCATTTGCTCTGGGGAAGCACAGAGTCAGGGTGGATTAAAAGTAAGGTAGAAATGTGATACACTCCGCTTGTTGATAGGAGCCGACTAACAGCATGCTCCGGCTGCAGACACAAGAGGATTACTGTATCTGCAAACTGTTCCTAATTATAATTGATGCATTGATGATTATCTCATTTTATGCATCTCACTTTGCATTTTCTCCCGTCTTTGTGCCACTTAAAAAGCACTTAATTCTCCTTTCTTTTCTTCAGACGAATAGCGATGCACCTCCAATTAATTACAAAACCTTTAATGATTTTTCTGTCGGTGCTGCAGAAAATTAATGGGATGGCTCTTGTTTCTGCTCAGTAAAGATTTCCAGAATATGGCGAGGCGATTAGGGTTCAAAGACATTTTCCACTTCAAAAACCTGCGACATTTCTCCATTCAAAGTGACGAATCCGGCGTTCCAAATGATGGATTGTGACCGTTTTGATGGACGCGTCTGTCAGCATTATAAACTACTGAATGGAGTTTGACGTGAATGGCGACCTGTGAACACAGCAATTTGAGGCTTTCAATCACCCGGCCATGAAGTGTAACACTATGTGCAACTGGCAGCATCTTTTGGAAAGTTTCAACTATTGCAAAGCTGCTTGTCTGTGTGATTTATCCACCTGCAGTTCCAAACTAAACTATGCACACAGCCTGAAATAATGCGTCAGCCTGAAGTGTAAAGACAACAATTCATAACCTTTACCGTTTTTAAAAGCAAATGAAGAAAATAATTAAAGAAACAAACTAAACTCCCATTATTGCCTTTCAAAATTGTGTTCCAGGGTCAATTCTAAACCAAGTCCTTTCAGTATCTCATAACCAGGAGGGCTGAAATGTAGATGGACCAATAAATAAAGAAAATTGCTTTTTGGTTGAGCTTTTTTGGTCACCACAACAGTTTGCTAACCCTGTCGTAACAAGTCATGAATCAATTAATCACATAATAAATTTCAAAAAGCTCAACAGTTTCCATTTGGGTCTCTCCTTCTACCAAAGGCTGGATGACAAAAGTCTTCAATGTGACGCTGTTTCCATTTTATTTGTTGTTTTGGGTGTTTATTTAAAAATAAAATATGTTTCGGTGTTAAATGTTCCTTAGAAATAAAAACTGTAGGCTCTTTGAGAGGGTGTGCTTGAATTACTACTTGAAAATGGTCTCCAAATAATAATTTATCAGGCAGCAAAATGTGACACACCTACACTGTAAAAACACAAAATCTTACCAAGTATTTTTGTGTAGTTTCTAGTCAAATATACTTGAAATAAGACAAGACTAACTCAGAAGTAACTTTACAGTAAAATACAGGATCTTGTTTTAAGTCAATAATTATTTGATATTGATAGAAATCAAAAATGACTAACAAAAAAGAAAAATCTAAGTTTTGGGTTTAGATTGCCCTGGATTTAATTTAGAGGTATTAAAGTAACTGGGTTTAAATATAAATGCAGACTTTTATGATCACACTAAATTGCTCCATGTTCATTAGAGGAAATCTTCAACAGGCAGAGGATTGCAATGTAAGATCAAAAAGTGTGAATACCTCTGTAAAAACCTCTTATGGTTTAATTGAGATACATTAATTGGAAATTTAACGATTAGGCTGCCGAGTGTTTTTGGAAGCAAGCTTGTATTGAATTCCCCGATCTATAATTTGCAAAGTGGTTTTCTGAAGACGGGGGAAAATTTTGACGTACCACTTTGCTGCATCCGGTTCAGATGAATGGCGGGCTGCGCCAGAACGTCGCTGAACGAGCGAAGCCCTCTGCGGTACCACTTCTCGGCTGTTTTAGGTCCAACCCCAAACACGCTCGTGAACAGCTGCCGGGGAACGAGGGTCGATTTAAATGTTCTGAAAAAGCAAATGAGTGACTGACTGAAGGTGGTTTTCATTTACCAACCTTGAGAGTTTGACATCTTTCATCAGAGAGTATTTTCTCGACCTCAAATGAGCGGCCATATTGAAGAATCTCCTGTAAAACATAAAAGCAAATGAGATTAGAGACAAAAGCGCTGTTTTCCTGGGTTTCTATTTTTTCTGTCTGCTGTCATCACATGCCCTCAAATTGCTGCTCATTTGCAAACCATTTCCACTTAAATGAGGTGTCGTCATTTCCATTTTGTTCCTAGAAATAACATCTTTGTTGCCGTGATACCTGAGATTAACACCAGCTTAATGACAATCATTAAACGCCCAGGGTGACAGGGTTTTTCCCTCAGACTCCATTATTTGCTCCAAATGAAATCGTCTGCACTTCCATTTTAAACGTCTCCATTGTCTGAATCAAGTGGCAGTTACCTGGCTAGTATTTTAAAAAAAAAGAAGAAATTGAGATTGATATGTTTTTCAATTCTGCAGGGCTTAGTGCTCATTTTAAGCTTGAGCATAAAGGAAAGGCAACCAGCATGGATGAACTATTGATCCAAAGGTGAAGGTTGTGAGTACAGAGCAGTGTGCAGCAGCCTTCACTGCTCAGCGAAGCATCCAGCCGTCCACCTCTGCTTTTCAAGCCTCCAGCTAAGGCCAACCTCAAATGCTTCACCACACTTCCTGCACCAGCAAAGATATGCTCCTTCACAAGCTCAGTTTCTGCCTCGTTTTTATGTCGCTATGCTTATGTCCTCTCCACACTCTGGATGCTCAGTTGTCAGTGAGGAGCTCAGTCGCCGCTGATGGTGTCACTCTGATGTTCACAGCCGCATCAAGCATTTTGCTTTTGTCTTTTTAACTCCATTCGGCTTCACTTTGTTTTTCATGTCATGTCTTTTCTCTTGTTTTCACGCGGCAATACATTCAAAGCGACAACACTGGGAGCACAGAGCTCGGAGTGAGGTGGGTGTCTGCTTGGCGCGCAAACAACAAAGACGAGAGGTCATCCGCAGACTGTCTAATTTGGTCTCCGCGGCACATTTATGTTTCTTTGTTTTATAATTCTGCCTCAGCGCTGACAGCTCTGACAGATCTGGAGGCTTGCTCTTAGACCCGCTGTGACGATGCTAGGTTCAACGTGTCAGAAAGTTGGATTGCCCTTTTTTAACTTTTTCATCTGCAGGGATTCTGCGCTCTCTCCACGCAAACTTTCTCTGACAAGCTGCCATGATTTCTGACCTGAGCTTGACAAAGTGAGAGGATGAAGTAAGTTTAGCAGACTTTTTCCACTCAGACAAACATTTGTCTGTTTTCTCCTGCGGTGTGATCCTTGTGTACTGGTGAGAGTTTATAAATAAGCTTCAACAAAACTGTACAGCACATTTACTGACACCCCTGGAAACTTGTTTTAAAAGACGCCTTGAAATGAATTTATTTTTTAGTGCAACAGCTTCAAGTCACACAAAGAAATGAAGAAAATTTTAACCTTCCGTTTACCGAAACTCAAATGATTCTAGTACCTCAATTATTAAAATTTGCCTTGAAGCTTCATTAAATAATTTTATTATTCAGTGCACTGAGTTATGACCGGGTGATTATTTATGTTGCGCAACGTTCCCACTTCCGCCTCTGAGTTGTTTACAAAACCTAACGTCAAACTTTCAAACCTCGTTTAGTTTCCATTTTTATTGATGACATTTTAATAACTACGTACTGCATAATTATGCAGATAACACCAAACTTTACTAAGCTGGATTTACTACAAGCAGGCAATTGATCGGCTTCAAATTCCAGAAAACTGCAAGACACCGAGTTCCTTTAAATCAAGGCTAAAAATGCATTTGCTTAAAGCTTCGTTTGATCAAGAATTACTGGGATATTGATTCATTTTACTCTTTATTCCAACATTTGTGATGATTTCTGATTAATTCGATGATATTTTGAAAATGTGTAATGTTTGTTACTTGTTTATTGTTTCTATGCTTTCGTCATGTAAAGCATCTAGACTTGCATTGCTGCTGAAATGTGCAGTACAAGTAGATGCAAAATGTTGGTGTTTTTATGACGCTGGGAGACAGAGGATGCTTTCCAGTTCAGAATAATTACTGGACATTTAATAAAAACGCTGAAAGGTTGACTGGATCTTTCTTTTTTGGGGAAAAACTCGTCCAGATTGTAATTTTGAAACCCTCTTGATTGATGTTTAATAACTGATTCCCTGTGTAGAACATGGACATTCCAGCTGTGTTGGGTTAAATTCCTCTCCTTTGTAAATACTTTCTTTACACCTTCAAATATTGCTGTGATTTTTGGTCCTTGCTTGAGTTTTATTTGGAGTGTAGCACATTTTTCTTTGATCAAGGCTGAACTGACTTTTCTTATTTTGCGCCTTGCTTGTGAAGCAACCTTCTGAGTACTCTGGCTCTTAAAGTCTCCCTGGCAGAGTTAAAGGTATTTCAGAGTTTTGCAGCTAACAGTGCTGCTTTCTAAGCAGAACATTCCTTGTATGTTGACTGTTGACTAGTTTTGCTTTATGTATTTTGATGTAAATGTCGGATCTAATCTCTGTTTAGCAAACGGCAGGAAGGAAACCGTGATGAGCAAAGTTCAGGAAATAACCCAAAACTCTTGATGATCCAAGATATTTTGTGCAAAGAGGAATATTTGTGAAATTAGATTAAAACTGAAGATTTGTCCTGTTGGCAAGAAATATTGACAGTGGGAGCCCCAATAATTGCACCACCAATAATTTTTGTTTATGAAACATCCAAATGGTGCCATAAATATTTTTATTACAACACTCACTATGAGCCGTCCCTGCAGTCCAGACCCCGTCTGCAGTGATGTAAGTGTTTTTATGTAAATTTATCCCTCATATGTTTTTATTCGTGCCTTTAAAGATCATGCATATCATGTTTTTATCACACTTTAGATTTGTTGCCAAATGTGCTGAATGTGTTCTGCTTTGTCATGAACAAAATGGAGTATAGAGTAAATATAGTAAAGATTTTGTGATTTATGTGTTTGGATCTGAATTGATCAGCCCTGAAATGAGTTCTCCTCTTCTTCCAAGGATGAAAACCATCGATTGGCTTTGTGTGCTTGTCATATTTGCATGTTTTCATCTTTCTGTGTGTGGTTTATGTTTAGCCTTTTTCATCCTCAACTGTCCAACTCGTGCAGCAATTTGGGACCAAATGACTGTAATTAGTGTGTTCATATTCATTTTACAGAGCAAGAAACCCAACAAACTGTGTGGTAACCAAGAGGACAGCCGCACTTTCACTCAAAGTCAATTATTGTTCATTTTATTTCTGCCTTCTTTCACACGGAAAGTGGTTTATACATGTCCTCTACAAACTGTGTAATTCTGTACGCTAAATTTACAATGAAGTAAATAGATTTCAGTTCGACAGATAATAAATTTGTCTTTTCTGAATTTCTACTTTGAGAAATTTTTCATTTAATTGAGCAAGCTTAAAATAAATCAGATCTGTAAAAATTCAATTCAGTTTATTTGTGTAGAGCTCATTCACAACAAATGTCATGTCAAAGTGTTTAAGAGAACTGAACTGTTGATAAGTTTTCATTACAAATGTGCTCGAACTTTTGTCAATATTCTGCTAATGTAAAGAAAACCAACACAATTTTGTAACTGTGAAAACAGCCGTTGTGTTTGGTCAAACTTTTAGGTTTTGTTTCTCCTTTTGGACTCAGGCCTGCAGGCTGGCAAGGCCACGCCATAAACTAAGTCCTTCTTCTGTTGCCTCGGTGGTCTCTTGTACAAGAATGCAGAAAACAAAGATGGTGTTCAGGATAAAGAAAGCTCTGACTGCATGAAATGTCGGTACGGTTTAGAAGGCCGAAACCAGAAGCCAGCCGCATTGTGAGAGACGGCGCTTTGACAGGCGCTTGCTGCTTTGTACGTCAACAGTCTGAATGACTTTCACAAAGCAGTCTGAGCAGCAGCAGCCATCAAGGTTAACACGAGGCAGAGACAGCCTGGCGCGCCTCGGCCTTCCTGGTGACTAAACCACAGCTCCCCTCCCCGCGTTTTTCATAACCGCTCATTGTGAATTTGCTTTACGTCATCCCATGTGTGCACTGAATGATTGTTGCACTTTCTCTGGGGCATTGTGAGTACAGTGACTTGGCCTTGTGCAATCAAATCTGAAACCTCAATAAAGTTTCAAAATAGAGGAGCATTTTTCTGATCTGTATGATATGAATATGAATGTTTCTAAGAGTGACAATAGATTTATAGATAATAGATAGAATTTGTTTGGAGACAAATTATTTTATGTCATTTTAATCTCATTATTTTTGTTTGATGTCAAAGTTTTTCTTATGATCTGAAATATTCAGAAAAAAAAACAGAACAAATCTGTTAAAACTACTTACAACTGAACGGAAAATGATGAAAAAACAATAAAAAATTCCCTCTAACTTGTCAGAGAAACCATAAGTAGGTGTAAGAAAAAGTTTTTTTCAATCAGCGTATTGGTAAAGGAATGCTTTTAGTTTAGTATTAAACATGTATATTAAGTTAATAATTGATCGAGTAGTGATGCAGGAGTCAGAGATAAGTTTTAAAACTACAATCATGGTTTTCTTCTTCTAATGAATTATTAAAAACACTCTCAAGGTCATATTCTACTACAAAAAACAAATGTTCCTTTGGGTCCTTCACCACCACTGAATCACACACATTATTAAAACCACTGACCACTCTCTGCCCTTTTCCTTCTGATTTGATTCCAAATCAGCAGAGAAACTAATCACAGGAGAATATCTCACTCTTAGTGGCTTATATTTTCAATTCATGTTATTCTCAAATAATAAAAGATAAACATTTCTGCACTGCTTTGAAAGAATAATCTTACTCATTTCATCACAAATCTTGGTTTTTTTAAAGGGGAAAAGTTAAAAAAATCTAATCAAAATCAAATTCAGTACAACTACCAGGAAATATCACTTAAGAAAATTGTGTGCATGTAATTTAGTCTCAGCAACAAACATTTTTCTTTGTGCTCCTATCATTTTAAAGATACTAATAAATGTTTCCAGAGGTCAAAGGTCAGCCAGCCAGTCCACAGCTGCAAAATCAAACAAAGCATGGTGTCAATCAATTGTGCTGCATAAACATTGATTAGTATCTTAAAAACAAAAGCGGCTCAAACGAAATGTCATTTGATTTGAAGTGAAGAACTGAAGAGTTAAACTGCAGTATGTAACAGGAGAAAAAGGGTTTTTTTACATATTTGCACCACGTCTTGACAGTTTATTGTGAGACAAACTGTGAAAAAGATTTATCTCCTCCAACTCCTTCATAAGATACTGTTGCTGTCAGAAGAAATGCTTCGCTCCCAACCAAAATCAGCCAATCAGAGCCAGAAGGCGGGTCTTAGCGCAGTCAATTAATCTCAGGTACGCACTGCCAAATGTTCCTAATTGAGGAGAAACAGAACAACCGTTTTTGCAACTTCTCCAGTGGTTATGCTAATAGCAGGCTATGAGGATGAGCAATGCCAGAAAAGATTGTGACTGCCAGCACTAAGACCCGCCTCCTGGCTGTGATTGGTTGTTTCTAGTTAGCAATGGGAGCACTGGGAGAAGGTAGAGGAGCTCAATTTTTCCACAAATCATCTGCAACATACCATACTGTCACAAAATACCAGTTTCAACAAATATCATATAATCAAATACAATTTTATTGCATAGATTCAGTAATGAGGCAATTCAAAGAACTTTACATCAGAAAAACACAAAAATACAGTCGTAAAACACACAGTCAACAACTGAAACATTTTACCATCGTTACACATCAGAGGGTTGATTAATGTTTCATGGGTTATGTTTTAAAAACAACTCCAGACAGCTGGGTTTGTAGCCTGGATGTACAGGAACTCAGTGTTTCAGCTGTTTAGCAGTTTTCTGGAAGTTTGTTCCAGATCTGTGATGCATTGAAGCTGAATGCTGCTTTTATATAAAAATTACATCCTGCAGCTTCAAATACAAAAGCATGTCACTTTTTTAATTTTCAACATCTACATATTTCCTTCCACTGACTAATTATTTACTACTGTGCTGCACTGAAGTGTCTGTATCAAAGCTCAGTTTGCACGAAGAAGCAAGCCTCTCTGGGTCTTACCTTCATGACAGCCTTGGTGTGTTCACCCAGGCATGGCAGGTCCTGCGTGGCCCCGATACTCCGCACCGCCCAGGGAAGACTCTTCAGCACAGAGGCCGCCCTCCTGAAGGCCAGGCACCGTCCCTCAATGTCATTGAATTCGTAGTTTTCCGCCAGAACTTCAAACGCGTCCTAAAGGGATGAAGGCAAGGACAGGTTAAGGCAGGCTGGAGGATAACGTAGGAGAGAGGAGCAGCTTTTTCCTCCCTCCGTAAGATACGACATATTAACCATTGTGAAGCTTTACAACGAGAGGAGCTGATAAGAAAAGGAGAGAAAATGAGGTTGCGCAAAAAATATGCCAGGTGAGGATTCTCTTCACTCAACCATAAAGGAAAACCAGATAGAGATAACCGCATGCTCCATTTCACTCCTCTGTCTGTCTTTTCTCCATCAGTGTCTCTGTCTAGAACCTTCTGCATGTTGCTTTTCTCTTGGACACACACACACACACACGCACACACACACACACGCACAGATGCAGGAGACGGTTTCCACATGTTTGTAAGAGGCTCTGTGGTGATAGTACCTTCTTTTTTTTCCAAAAGTAAAATTTAATGTTAGCATGAAATATCCACAGCCAGGAGCCAAAATTTTACATCTTTCCATGGCTTTAAAGAGCTAATTACTTTAATCAAACCTGAAGAGTGCAAAACAAAAATAAAGTCAAAATAGAAAACATAGAAATGTTTTCATATCACGTTGCCAAAGTTTGAACCTCTCTGAGTCCTGAGTGTCTAATTCACGTTTTCACAGATCATTTTATCACAAAAATATAAAGTTATATTACAAAAACTGATCATGTTGATGATCAGTTTTTGTGATTATTTTTATTTAATTGTACAATAATTATAATGCTTTTTACTCTCTTAGTTTAATTTCCTACTTGTTTCATGATTGCCCTCTTCTCTTTAACACTTTGCTTCATCTCTCATTGTATCAAAAATCTTTTTAAATATAGATTCAAAACGACAACGCATTTAAATTGTAAATAATAAAAGGTTTTAAAGGTGACCTATTCTGCTTTCTCCAGCAGGTCAGCATAGATCTGTGGTCAATATCAAACATATTCATTAAATTTTTACACAAAATTATTTAGATAATGATTTTAATCTGGTCAGTTCTGCCTATGTTGAGCTGTTTTAGGGCGTTTGTCTCAAAGTTTACACTCATGTGGAAATGATGAACAATTCTACAACCGTACATCTTTGAAAAGCAGAAGTGGAGCCTCCTGCACAGCCAACAAGAATGGTTTCTGAATGGCAAGTCAACTACAAAGCACTTGTGTTTTCCAGCAGCCATTGTGTTTTCCAGCAGCCATTGTGTTTTCCAGCAGCCATTGTCCAGCGCGTACAGCAGCTGATCAAATGTCCGGGAGCTCAGCTTGGTTTGCTAGGTAACAGGCTGGGCTTCTCTGGGGTTGCTAAGTAACAGCTGATTTGAAATGGCTCCTTTTCCAGACACTAAAAAACATAAACTTATTCCCAACAAACAGCTGGGTGGCTGTTTGAAGCACATGGATTGTTTTTGGAAGCAGATATATTTAAAGGTGCTCAGTTTTTCAGCTGTTTTACAGTTTTCTGGAAGTTTGTTCCAGATTTCTGGTGCATAGAATCTGAATGCTACATCTTCATGTTTGGTTCTGGTGCAAAGCAGACCAGAACCAGGAGACCTGATCGGATGGTACAACAGCAGATCTTTGATTCATTTTGTTGCTAAGCCATTTAGTGATTTATAAGCTAACAACAGTTCTTTAACGTCAATTCTCTGAGCTACAGGGAGCCGGATACACATTGCTTCAATGGCAATGTGTATCACTATTCTTAATTGGTCAGCCAAATGGCCCAATCAAAGCCAACAGAAAATCTTTGGAGTATTCTAAAGAAAAAAATAAGACACTAGAGCCCTGCATGCAGATGAGGTGAAGACCAACATGAGCAGAGCTACAGGCTAACGGCCTCCATGTGGTTAATTACATTTTTAAAAATAGGCACAAACTGAAAAACCATGAAAAAGGAGCTATGAGAAATTTCTTGGCGTTATGAATTATTCCTAATAGTCAGCAATTTCCAGGAAAAGACAGCTGCTAAATATAGAACAACAAAAAGAGTGTTGGAGGTGGACATGAAGTCAAGTTAACAATATCCAGCTGCCTTCATGTCCAAAGAGAAAAAGCAATAAAAGGTTTGAACAGAAGGTTATAATTTGGTCCATCTGCACACTGCAGTGATTCCAATGTATCACTTTTTAACAGAAATGGTCTGTCTCCTCTCAAATTGCTCATCTTTGAAAATCAGGTTAGTGTGATTCGTTCCCTCCAACAATTTATTTTTAGGGTTTATTATTGTTAGCGTCACAGAACAAAACGTCCCAGCATCATTCATATGTGTTAGAACCAGAACAGAATCTGCTGTGGGAATCTTCTTCCTTCATTTAGAGTTTCTGACATTTTACTTTCCCTGTTAGAAAAAATTTTCTGTACTGGAAAGTTGAACAGTTTCTGTGGTCATTAGTTCGGACATCATACGAACAGATTTCAGTTGATACAGAAAATGAACTAAAGTGCAAAACTTTTTTTAGCTACTTTTAAATAAAGTATTGATTCTTTTTGTTGTTTTTTAGTTTCAATAGTTGGTCAGTTTTCAGTTACTCCCAGATAAACTGTAAAAAAAATAAAAAATAAATGGTTAATCTGTCAATTAAACTGGTGAAAAGTTTAAAAACTTTCCAATAATTGCTTTAATTTTCTACAATTTAAAATTGTAATTTAGTTTATTCATAAACTAGATAGGTGTTGTTTTCTTTTTACTCACCACTGTTTGAACATTCAGCTGCTAAAACCTGAGCTGGTGTATGGGAGGCACCAGCACTTCCTGTTTGATGATGTCACTGATTACATCACTGGCTTTTACCAGTGGAGGGGTTTCTTTGTTGTTTTGTATTGTTTTCTTTAAATTAACCTTTTGAGTTGCTCTGTATTACACGTTTTACTTTGCAGATCGTTTATTTATGTAGATGAGTTTGTAAATTAGATTAATAATCTCATTTTTGTTTCTTTGTTTAGATTTTGTTGTTTGGTTTGACCTGTTCTGTCACGATATGGTCTAATGAAGTGCAGGTGTGTTGTTACATTGGTTTAAAACGTAGGATCCTCAGGATAGATCATGTCAGAAAACAAAATGATTAAACAATAAAATCCTCCAGAAGAACTGGAGCTGGCTGCTGATGCTTTCTTTGACATCACAGTGAAAGAAAATTAAGTTTATTCAATCATTATTTAAAATTGTGATTCATTTTGTTCATAAAACTGTACTTCCAGTTGTGTGTATGCAACTGGTATCAAATTACTATAATTGTAACATTGCAACATTATGTTTAGGAAACCTTTTTAACATTTTGATTTGATAAAAAAAAAAAACACAAATAGCAACAAATGTACTGTCACTATTTGTAAAAAATATTTTTTTTAAATCAAAGAACATGTTGCTATGTTTTTATCACATAATTTTGTTGATTCTGCACCAACAATTTTTTAAAATCACTTTTTTTACTTTAATGCAAAACTACAAAAACAATCAAATAAAGTAGTCTTATTTTATTGTTGTTTTATTTTTTATTTCGCAGGAAAGGAATCTCATTCATTTAAAAAGATTTTACACAAAAGAAAGACATTCAGTTTTCAAATTGCAGATTTGTTCTCACTTATAAACTATAGTTTACTAAATTAAATAAAAGCTGATTTGAGCACAGAATGTGGTTACAAAGTGATATCAGTAATAACAATTAGACGAATTTGAATAATTCTTGAACTGCAGTTGAAAGCTGCACAAAATCATTGAATATTAAATGTTTTGTATCAATGCATTTGTTGCAAGAGTCAGTATCAAGTCTTATGAGTTTGGGTATTTAGTTTCCTCCATTCTGGACACTGAGGTTAGCAAAAGGAAAGCCAAGGTATAAAATCTATGATCAGGGAATATCTATAAGACTTGCAATGCAAGGGGAAAAAAACTAATCTATAAAATAACAACCAGCTGAATCATTCCACCGATGCACTACGCCTGAATAAAAAATAGTGGCTGCTGCTATATGAGGACTAAAGTTGGAGAGAGTGAAATTCAGGCTACGAACTCGGCAGAGTTGGACTTTAGCACATTTACGTTTGCTTTTTCTCTCCTCCAGCTGAGCTGAAATGTGAGGTCACTGCGCCGGCCGTGGTCCTGCAGCAGACCTGCAGCCTTCAGCCCGGCTCGCCCCTGAGAGGCGCTGACCTGTTTACTGCTGCACATGGGTAGAAAACGACCCTTTACATCACACACACACACAAACAGCTGGGCTCTCCTCTCAGCGTGCAACAAATAGGAAATTCAAGCTTGTTACTCCATAGGTTTTACGGCTGACTGGTGCTGTGGAAGGCTGTGTTGTGAGCACATTGCATCCCAAACAACAAGTACAACACAGTAATTGGGTCGTTTTCAAATGGAAAAGATGATTCAGGGCACTGCTATGCTAATTTCTCGCTTTTTTATTATAGATTGAATATTTTCAGTGTAATGTTTTCCAATTTAACAACCTAACCTGGTGTCATATAGGAGATGTTTCCAGCTGAGTCGACAACACTCTGCATCTGTTGCACTAACATTTTCTCCCCTCCAGATGCCACATGCACACATGGACTGAGTGGATTAGCAAAGACTTTCCATAAGTACTGCAGCCTAAATCTGCATTAGAAGCCATAATCATAATGCAGCCATGGTAAACAAAATAATAAACCACTGGTTCACCTGTCAAACTTTTTTAATTGGTCCTGTAGGGTGGCAGATTCCGTTAATTTTTTTAAAACTTCTTTGACATTGTGAAAAAATATGCATGTTAGATATAAACACATCAACCTGTCTCAGCACTTTCCCTGAAAATCCTCAGACACTTTAAGGGAAAAAGAAAAGTTTGGGAAGTTTGGCATTTTTTTTTCACCATAAAAAATAATGACATTTTATGTGTTTCTGGATAATTAGCACTTGAGATTTTTAAATAAAACTCTCAAAATGTACAGCAAACAGATTCATCTCTGCTGACTTTAAACATTAGTTTTAACATGAACAAGAACAAAAACGTCAGAACAGCTTCATTGGTGCTTTTTCTTCCAAGCAGTTCAACTTTTTAATAATATTTTTTACTTATTTAGTTGTTTTTGAATATGTAACAATCTGCCTTATTGTATAGAAAAAGAGAATATAAAATTACACATACAAACATTTTCACAAGTTTAGATAGTTCAAGATTTTATACATATTCCAAGGTGTTAGCTGGAGTATAAATTACGATGGCCAAACTCTAATATAACCTATAAAATTCTTCAATCTGCCCCAAC